ATCGCTCCATTTTGCCAGGAACCTGTCGGAACCGTTAATAGTCCATCATCATGAGTTTTTATTCTTTAATTAAATGGTGTTAATGTGCAACAGCTTTTGTTTCCATAATATGACTTATTCCGCATAGCAAGTGACATAATAAGTTTATTTTATAATTTATTCGATGAGTATACATTTCATATGTCGACCTGACAAATTTGTTTCCACGATCAAGTGATCGCATCTTTTGATCTATTTTTCTTGAGATTTATGAAGTTGCAAGTCTACTTACACACAAAGGCTCATTAAACTTTTTGAAAGCTAAGATTCGCAGAGTTATAAATTATGTATGCACTCAGCTGATCGAAGATCACCCTTCCAGATTACGTTTCATTCGTACAAGACGCAGCAGAGAAGCTCATAATCTTATCCAAACGTTAATACCACACAACTATTTTTTCCAAAACGTAATTTTATAGATATTGCTATGATTCAAGTACACATTTTTTATTCTTTAAATTTTTAAATAAACATTCTTTATTATTATGTGAGTGTTGGCGTGAACTGAATTCAAAACCAAATTAATTTTGGTTGCCGATGATATATAGTTGATCAAGTTAAATTTATGTTATTATTGCTGTAAGATCGATTTGCGAGTATTCAATGCGAAAATCTATAGTTAACTGTAACAAGATTATATAGATTGTAGACATAATTTGTATATTTGGAGAATTACCTATATTGTGCTAATTAGTAATATATCAAAAATAGCTCAGGTATATTGTGATGATTGGACAAAATTCTATTTTGTTGACCAGCCTTACTTTTGTTATCCTTACTGGCAATGTACCTCATGCGTCAAAAACCAATAGCATTGAGAAATCAAATTTCCTTGTAGGGAAATTTATATATATAAATGCATATATACTGTATAAATAAAATTTACAACCACTGATGATGAACACTTAGTAACATTCGAAATAACTATATAGTTTAAATTTCTTAAACAATTAATTAAAAAAATGTGCTGGATTAAAAAAAATGTTTTTTTAGTTGAAAACCTTTATTATATTGCAAAATTGATAAAGAAGTTACTTGGACAAAAATGATATGTATCTTTTCCGCAAATGGATAAAGAACTTTTTTTTTCTATTCTACCGCATTTAATCATACTTTGATTTTAGCGACCTTTAAATTTATTTATTAGAATTATTGGTATATTTACTAGGAAAATCTCCTGGATATGTCTTTTATTTCTTTTCTTTTTTTAATATTGATTGATTCAGTCCAGTGACTATAAATACAACTGCTCTCTACATTTCTGTGGTTTGTGGTTATTATCTCCACGAATGAAATGCTTGTAGTATAACCTACTTAAGAGTTACTTAAGACGTAAGAGAATTTTGATTATTTGCAAGAATATAATTTACAAATTTTGGAAAGGAAATTTACCAAAATAACCGTTTATCTGATTTAACATTTCAAATTATATTGAAATCTTTAATTTGACGTAACTAATTTGATTTATCCGAGAAAAGAATAAAAATAGTGTTGGCCGCATATTAAAAATGTTACATACTAAGATTACGCATCATCATGTGTCCAAAATTTTTCGATCTGCGCAGAATTTTTTTTTTCCAGAATCCAGAATTTAAAATATATTCAGGATCCAAACAAAAGTTTTTTAAATTTGTGGATGTAAAAAATGTAAACAAATTATTGTGAAGTCACAGACATTCATATATTTTTATAACGGATCTGCGTAGTGCCTAATATTAGAATTTATCGTTCTTGGTGGTATATAGAAGATTTCACAATTGCATCTATTACAACTGACACCATGCAATATACTGTTCATTATATCAACCTTCATCAATATCTTTTAAAAAATTCAATTAATTAAAATAATATAGAAAACAATTTTTGTTGTTGAAGTTCACTACTGTTCGAAAACTGTTTTATTTTTTTTATTTAATATATACTTTGAGATTCACTAACTAAATTTTTTAATCTTGTGTTGTACTCTGGTATACCCTCTGTATACTCCAGCTTTGGAAAGGGCCAGAAATGTTACTACAACGATATGACTAACACCACATAGCACGCGAAATAATTAGTTTATTATGTACTCCATTCGATGAGTACACATTTCATATAATGACCTTACGGATTTACACTCACGATCGTGTGATCGCATCCTTTTAAATTGTTTTTTATTGAGATATACATCATTACGGCTAAACTCATTGGAAGCCTCCTAGATTTGTTACTATGAGCTCACCGAAAATCATATCTCTAATTGCGTTTCATTCGTACAAGACGTACCACACAAGCCCAAAATCTTATCCAAACGTTAATACCATATAACTACATTTTCCAAAAAAGAAGTTTTTGGATATTTTTATGGTTCAAGTGCATATTTTTTGAATCTTCTAATTTTTAAATAAACAGTCTTTATTATCATTTATGTGGTATTTCGAACCTTACAATTAATATATATTTTTCTAAATTCTAGAAGATTTAACCAGATCTAGAATTTTTTCATCAGTTTAATAATACTCTTTTATAAAAAGACTTTGTATATATATGTATATCTGTATATTCATGTATATCTGAAAGGGTGCCCAAAGTGATTATATTACTTACTTTGATGGCGTGTTTGTTATGTTATTTAAAGAGATTGCCCATGAACTATTCTTGTTAAGGTTGAAGGTAAGCGCTACGGTCTTTTTCATTAATTTTGTCTCCTTTTTAATGAATAGTTTTCAACCAAAACTTTGGAACTGAAGTTGGTTAGTGGCTACGACAACATCTCTGTGACGGTTTAGTATAGTAGTGTCATCGGCATATACAGTGGTGACGGGTGGACTACTTATAGGAAAAGCAGAAAGGTTGAAAAAGTATAGAAAGGTTGCCAAAACCCTATAATGGCTTATTCTGGTATTTGAGTGTAAGATTTGACGAGATGATTGATAAACATTACACTTTGAGAAATTTTTAAAAATTAAGGATTAAGAATTAAATCACTGTCTATTTAGACAGTATTTTGTTACAGTACTTTATGGGTTCACTGTTGCTTTTTCTTGAAAAAAGAAAAGATACGCTTTTAAATTTTATGCACTTCTGATTAAAATCAATATCAGTGATCAATATATTATGATCATCAACGATCATATATTCGTTAGTTCTGCTTGTTACTTTCAGAAGCGTTTTATTCGTTTTGAAATGTGACAAAAAACAGATCGTAATTCAATGGATCAGCTTTTAATATCTAAAATTTTTGTTTTAATATAATATGAATAAGTTCAGTGCTCATTTACACAACATATATATTGTCACGACCTTATGCAATTTACAGGGTTATCCATTTATATTTACTATTACTGTCAATTCAATTTGTGGGGTTGAATTTTCCCGTTAAATTTGATTCTTACAACATAAATAATATACATTTTAAATTACTAATAAAAATATGCTAATATTTTGTGGTTTTTAAGTTAAAAGTTAAATGTCCAATAATAATTATATATTTAAATTGAGAGGCAGAGAGATTCTTATAACTTTAATCTGTACTCGTATGCTATTAATGATAGATATTCTTCAGGAATTTTTAAATTATTTTAATTATTAAATTATTAATTCGGATTTCATAATAAATAAATAAAAAAATTTTAAAGCATACTATCTGCATTTTTATTTTATTAGTGCAGTGAGTAATGCACCGGCTTGTAAATACATTAAGTAATGTCAATCGAGAGCGGAGCGTATTAAGTTCTACATTCTTCATTAACAAATTCATTGTTGGACGCCAATAAATTCCAATTTCGGCACGAGAAAAGTGACATGTTAACCTTAGCCAACATATTTAACAGATAAGCGATTATCATTTAAAATATTCTGCTCATATGAACCACAAAGATTATAATAATGATATAGAATGAAAGTTCGCTTGAGCGAACGTTCTGAAGCTCAAATAAAAATGAAAGTATTCACGGCTGCGAATTTAGTTGATCTCGGATTATTGTGGGGAGTGTTTGTTGGACTAAATATCGGAATACTTGTTCATCCCGGAAATCTCAAGATGCAAAAATATTGCACTTTTGCGTTGCTTGTTGCAACCTGCATTGGGGTAAGCAATAAGTGAAGTGTTTAAGGACTACAAAAGTGATATTTAGAACAGAGCACTTGCTTGAACGTATTGAAAAAAAAATGGAAGTGTTTTTTTAATTATTGCAATGGAATTCTCTATAATTTATTTATAAAATTCCGTTATCAGTTTTAAAAGCTTTAACCTTATCAAGCTTTTGTCACTTAAAGTTAAATGATTATATTCTGTATTAAATGGATTACTTTCACGGAATTGTTTTTGAAATCACATATATTATAAATTAATATATTATATCTTAATGGATGGAAAATAACTCTTAATTATAATCGAAATGCTGTGATTTACTATTGTAGTTGCTGTAGAGATTGTAGTGAAACAAATATTGAATTCCTAATTTGGACATAATATGTAAGCTAAGTAAATGAGTTCCATGAATTCCAAGAAATAAGTGTTATTAAAGCAGCCAGAAGATGAAAAACTTGATTTTAATATTAAGAAGAATTAACAGTGAAGATGTGTTCTAACAATATTTATAAAATTCTTTTGTCTATATTCTATAAGTTGGGCTTTAAAGTTAAAAATTTTTACATAAAACCAGCCAACAAAAAGTTGACAAGTTGACAAATTTTACATTATTATTGAAATGTTCCAAAAGTACATACAATTAAAAATCGATGCCATAATTTAATCTATTCATCTTAGTCTATTTAGATAGACTAAGTTCTATTTACAAAAAGTTTCCAATTGTCTCTATACCGTGCTATGTATCTTAGCTCTTAAAACGATTTGTAGGTTTCGGTGACTGTTCGCCTCCAAGTTGTCTTTGAACGTCATTTTCTTCTTGATCCAACCGAGTTCCATTCTACGGCTGAAATTGCTATATTGCAGGTATCTTTTCTTATGGAATGACCAAGCCATCCATATTTTCTCTTTCTGATATCATTTAATATATCATCACATAGTATATCACATAGTTTAAATATGGGTTTAAAAATGCTTGCATTTAGTTACTGACGTTGTTTGTTATATGCCATAGTTCACAGTTATAGAATAAAACAGGTTTTGAAAATTTCTGCAAATTCTAGCTAAAGAGACATAGCAGGTTTCTAACAGACGACTCGCATATCTTGATAATGAAATTTATTTAAAATAGTTATTTCGAATAATTTTTTTTACTGTCACTTTATGTCAGTCTTAAAGTTTGAAATTCTTACCTTCAAAGAATAAGTAGTGCCGTCTACTTGTGGTTCCTAGTTCCACTTAAGTAATTAATGTAAATACCAGTATACTAGTTGGAGCTAAATGGTGTGTGTAAAACGTTTACAACTTCAAGTCACAATATATTGAGAAGTAAGCTATATCGGCATATAGCACTGTTACTATATGTCTGAGTTCAGTAAAAACTGTTATCAAACCGACTTGTTCGGGAATTCAAAACCGCGGCATAATTCTTTGTAACGACCCATTATCCTGGAAGCATAATTTTGCAGCTAATTTTTCTATAATTTTAATAAAATAGACAGTGTTGTTATTGGTCATATAACCTTAAATAAAAACCAGTAACAAAATTAATCACTGTGATAATAATTAAAATATGATTACCTTTAATATGTGGAGTTATTTGCAATTTTTGCATCGAATTAATTGAATTAGTCATTCATAGTTAGCATATTGCTTCGGCTAATTGATCTAAAAATATTTACACTGACATTACTCAGAGTGAACTGAAAACTAGTATTGTTCTTTTTCAGTTTTAAAACTATTCGAAACTATCGACAATTCGAATTTACGAATTATTATTCGTATTCTAACTATTCGAATACTATGTGAGGGAATATAAGGTGTAGACAAGTGTCGATAAGACAAGTAGGCATAAATTTATTATTTAAGGAAGAGATCGTGCCATGCGATCTAAAAGATCTATTTTACCCCGGGCATAAATTTAAAATAGTATATGGGTTATAGGTTAATCACTGAATATATAATCAATTCAGAACTAAGCGGACAGTAAAGAAAGTAGACAACAAAAAATAAAAGCCATCCAGAGCAAAAAAAAGCAAATGTCAGTTGATAATACTGATAAACTAATGCTACATTATGTATTATAATATTTTTTCAAAAAAAAAAAAACTTGATCTACGAAGATACAAGTCAAGTATGGGTCAGTTGAATAATGAACGCTGAATTTGAGCTTCAAATTTAGCAGGGCAACGAGTTTAATGCTTGATACTTATAGTCTGAAGAAAATTATTACGAATAATTAAATATAAGAAGATATATAGGAATATTTCAAGACCACTGATAATGGGTATTTAGTAATACTCGAAACAGCTGTATAGTCAGTCAATAGTTCAATTAAATAATTAATTATAAATCTTATTGTTGTGATTGACTACTCTTCAAAACACTTCTCTCTTGAAAACAATAGTTCAACGGACGTTAAAAACAATTTAATATAGTATTTTATTTTACAAATATTATAAATATTTATATATATAACAGCTATGCAGCTCAGCAACAAATGTTGATATCGAAGCTAAGGAATTTATAAAAGAGGCCAGTAAGAAATACTATGAGTTATATAATCAAATTGCGGATGAGGTTTATTCATCTATAAAAGATGAAGATGACTTTGAAGAAATATTCAACAAAATTGAAAATGTTAGGAAAATTTCTGGGGGCCTCATCGAAATTGCGACAGATGCAAATAATTTTGATTTAAGTCAAATTAAAAATGAGGAAACTAAAAAAGCAGTAGAAACTCTAAAAATGTCGAGCGATCTTTTTGTGTTGGGAGACGATTATTTCGCATCAGTTTTGTTGAATTTAGCCGCCTTAAAAGAATTAGCAACTGATAAAGATATTGATCCATATCTGGATGGTACAAGTAGGCCTAATAACGGCTCGTTGGCATATACACCAGATATACAAAACATATTTAAAAAAAGTACCGACCCTGAGGAGCTTAAATATTACTGGACAGCGTGGCGTGATGCCAACTTCATTTGGTCTTCGGTAAACTTTTTTACAATTGTTGATGCCATAAAAAAAGCAGCTGATTCCTTTGGTATTAATTAAATACAAAATAATATTAACAAAAAATAAATATTTGAACAATTTAATTAAACAGATATTCCAATACACGCATTTTGGTATCGCTCATTTAACACTGGAGAGATGCTTAAAGAAATGGATGCTGTTATGAAAGATATAAAGGAACCGTATCAACAGCTACATGCTTTTGTGCGTAACGAACTAAAGAAGAAATATGGTGGTGATGTTATTGATGGAAATGCACCAATTCCGGCACATCTCTTCTCACAAGTACTCGAACAAGCTTGGTATGAGGGAAGTGTCATCGAAAGTTATTTTCCATTTAAAGAACTTCCACCATATGACAAATTAGTTGAGAAATTCGATGCTAAACAAATGATGGAAGAAGCAGAACGTTTTTATCAATCATTAGGTTTTGATGAACTTGATGAAGAATTCAAGCGAGATCGTTTAAAGCTAAGTGATGATACTGATAATATAAAAAATTGTAAAGCCGATATATTCGATTTGACACCGAAAGTTTATGTGAAATACTGCAATTCTGTAGAATTCAAGAAGTTTATGCAGAATCATGGTTACTTGAGTCAAGTTCATTATGCCAAAGAAAAAAAAAATTTGCCTTCATATTATTTTAATTCGTATGATTTGGAATATTCCGTGGGCGAGGCTGTAATATTGTCAGCAAGTACTCCAAAACATTTGACTGCCACAGGCTTGGCTAAGGACTTCGCATTTACTGACCAAACTTTATTTAATCGTTTATTCCGCATGGTAAGATTTTGTAAATGTGTTTTGTATTCATTTTGAGTAATGGAAATCTAAATAGTTTTATATTTAATTAATTGTAGGGTATCCATACGTTATTTAATATACCAATCTACTACGTTCATACAAGAGTTATGCATGACTTGTTGGGTGGTACTATTGAAACAGATGAAGTAAATAAACACTATTGGAAACTAATGGAGGAATATGTTGGTGTTGAACCACCAGTAGATCGTGAGGAAGGCGCAATTGATTTTACATATAAATTTTTCTTGGATATTGAACAAAATATGCAAACTAAGTATGAATCTTCCGTAATTGTAAGGATATTAGTACTTTATTCGAGCGAAAGAGTTAAAACTTAAGTGTTTAGTTGCAGATATGGAATAGTGATAAAGTACAATAATTATTATTTAATTTCAATTTTATTTTAAATTTTAAAACGCTTGATTTCGTCCCTGTTTTTCTTACATCATTTAATTTGTGTCCCCTGAAGTTCTAAAGGCTATAAATTAACTTTTCTCTCAATGTCTTAGAATGATGGCAACATTGAAGATATTGAGGTCTCCAATTTCCATTAAAGAAAATTAGATAGTTAATGTCATATAAGTGAGGAAGTTTTTTTATTGTTTAATCTTAATCAAAGATTTTTACTTTTACACTTTATCAAAAAAATTTTAATATTTATAATTGGTTTTAAATATATATTAATAGCTTTATTCATATTTAAACTAGAAAATTCGTTGGCGAAGTTCTCGGCTATCAATTTTATAGCGCATTCTGTAAAAAGGCCGGACAAGTTACAGAACTCCACAATTGTGATTTCTACGGAAATCTTGCAGTTGGAAACGATTTAAAGTAAGTATCAGAAATCAATAATTATGGCAATTGTTGGAAAAAGAATATGGAACTTCTTCTTTATAGGGCTATGATGGCTTTAGGATCATCAAAACCATGGAAGGAAGTACTTAAAAAAGTTTTACCCTATCCAAAATTAAGTGGAGATGCACTTATTGAATACTATACCCCTATATTCAATTGGGCTAAGAGTCAAAATAAAGAGAGTAAAGTTAAAATTGGTTGGAATGCTAGCAAGAGAAGTAAGCTTGAAACTTATTTGCTAATTGAGATAAGCGGTATTAAACCCAAAATATATCAAATTTTTTTTAAAATTTCAGAAGTACTTTGAGTTTTTGTATAATGTGGAAAGAAATAACATTTGCAATGGAACTGTCACAGGATATGGAAGAAGAAAAATCAGTTTCTTTGAATTCTTAAATGTTTTTGAGATAAAAATAAAAAATAATAACATCAGAAATATTGATTAATATATAAAGAGAGTTCTAAATCGTTTTAACTTGTATGTGGATCATTATGTATCTTCCATAGATAATTGAGTAGACTTTAGCCAAAATATGCAATTTTTCTATATTACTTCCAAAATACAAGTGTAATATTTATGGGACATGAGTTCGTTAAGACAAATATTAAAAATTATATCTCTGATGTCGTCCATTTAAATCGGAGGTTTCATGAATATTGATTTTTTCTGTACATTCGCACAAGAAATATCTCCAATGAGAAGTTCAATTGAAAATATTATTTGATATGATATCTGATTTTTAAGTTGATATAAAATTTTGAGAAAAAAATGTAAAATTTTTCTACTAAAAAATGATATTAAATAATGAACACTTTCATGTCATAATGTTTTTCGATTTTAGACCGGAAACCAGAAAAGAATGCATCGAATAACTTAATTCAACATTTAGTGATGATATATCAAATGCAGCGACTATAAAACGTTAATTTTCTCTACCACGAATTTCGTGAAGGTTGCCTAAAGACGGCTGTGGTACCAAAAATCATCGATATAGTGCGAGAAATGATTGAGATGGATCGGCATCTCGATCGAAAGATAGAGGCGTCCTTGGGCCTTAGTAGGACACATTTTAGTACACATTTAATTTTATATATACATTTAGCTATCAAAAAGATTTGTTCCCGTTGGATACCCCATAATTTGAGAAGGTACCTGTTGATTCCTTTAAGAAAATGTCGATCACGATACAACATCGTGATTGGTGACGACTCATGCATCTACGCCTTTAAGCCCGAAACAAAACGGCAATCCGCTGTTGGGTTTTCCAAAGTGAGCGGAGCCCGACAAAAGTAGTCCGATGACGAACGGGTAGTCTTTGTATACATACATATCAAAAATAGCATTTTTAGTAATTATTAAGAATAAATACCATCAATGTATTTCTTCTTTTAATATTTCATCGTTTCAATTTTCATCGCTCGGTTTTTGTTTTTTCGCAATTTATTTTCGACGAGTTTAGATACTCTAGACATTGACTCATGTAGCCAGGATTGTGCCAAGTGAGGGATATATGAGAAAATACTTTTTGGCACTGTTTTTGCATTGTATCCATAGGTTTTCTGTTAAGGGAAAGTACTCCTTTAATTTCATCCCTCCTCCATGGGTACAGTATAAACATGGCTTGTTTAGTTAGGTTATCATAGGTTAAGATTGTATAGACGATAGGGACTTATATATTTACTTGCATATATTTACAGGTGCGGTTTTGAAGAGTTAAAGAAAAATTCAAAAAAATAATGCACAATTTGTTTATTTTATATATTAGTTTAATCTGCATATTTCGCAGATTATGTGTTTAACTTTCAGTCTAGAAAAATTGTATGTAAACTTTTATATATAATTAATAAAGATGGCGATGATATGATTGTATATAATTTTTTTTTTAATTTTTATTGACTATAAATTTTTTATTTATTAAAATTAAAAATAAAATTTTTCGATTTTAATGAAAATGTGAGCTACTGAATAATTTCTTCTTATATAAATGGGTGCTAAGGTAAGAATTGTTAGTCTAAGTTTTATATATTTCTTAAAAAATTTGTTTTGGAAACCTAATTTGTAATTAGGATTAGAAATTTTATTTCATATACTAATATTTATATAGGAATAAATAGAGTTCACTTGCAGTTTTTAAACGATTTTAATAGTCGTTCTACAAAAGCTTATAGGTACATTCTCTTTCTGGTAAGTGATATGGTAAGTGACACTGCTATTATGACCGCCAATTGAAAAGGTTTATTAATTTCTAAATCAGACAGTTCTCTGACACATATTGACATAAATTTATAATATAATTTTATATACCATATTCATTTAACTGTATAAATGAGAAGTGCTATCAGCACACTTGCCTATAACATATATCATATATAATTATAACAAATGTGCAGCAATGATGATATTAAATAGTCGACAATAATACAACACCTTTTAATAAGTATTTAAATAATTGGAAAAATAATCTTAATTTAAATCTTAATTAATTTCAATTGAATAATCTGTCATCACAAAATATAGGCTATATATGCTTTTTATAGAGCAGGTTGGAAACGCCTTACCTTAAGAAGGCTTGAGTCGCCATCGCACTTTTTTTGTTCTAAGAGCTGCTGCAATTAGTATTTTAAGTGTAATATGGAACTAAGTCAATTTCTGTAGTCTGTGATTGTGAACAGGATTTTAGACACTATTACCTCCCATATATATTTTAACTGAGTTTTTATAAACAGCTTTATCACCTTTTTTTTATTATATCTTAATATATTTGATCATTTTGCCCTTCTATGAGATGGTGTTGTTTTAAGAGTAAAATATTGTTTTAAAATACTTCTAATATATCAGTTTAATATATTGTTCAGATTTGTTTAAATTAATGATTTCCTCATATATAACAGCTTTGTTGTTTCGGAGATAATGAGAACAATGCAAAAGACTTGATTGCTGAATGCAGTAATGTGTGTTTTAAGTTCTACGATAAAATTGCCAAAGAAAACTTTAATATGACAGATTGTAGAAACTTTCGTGATGTCTTTTTGAAATTGAAAGTAGTTAAAATGTACGGAAAGGAACTTGTTGAAGTATCGCGAAAAGTCAATAGTTTTAACCCAAGAGGAGTGAGAGATATTCATTCAAAAAAGGCACTTAAATATTATAAGAGAGTAGGTGGCCTGTTTGCCTTAAGTGACGATTACTTTTCACAAGTTTTGGCCAATATTTCTGTTTTAAGGGAATTGTCGAATTTCAAAAATATTGAACCATATGGTACTGAAGAGTCATCGAGGCCTCGTGAAGCCATTACATTAGCTTTTTATCCAGATTTGGAGCGTATAATTCGTGCAAGTACTGATAACGAGGAAATAAAATTTTACTGGATAACATGGCGTGAAAGAAATTTGTTGTGGGCCTCACTGGGATTTTTCACTATAGTAGAATCAATAAAGAAATCTGCAACATTTGCAAGTAAGTATATGTTATTTTAAATGAATAACTACTTTTTCGTTTTTATTTTTAATGAGTATTTATTTTTTTTCTTGTATATATAGATATACCAGTTCTTGAATATTGGTATCATTCTCACGATAGTGAGAAACTAATACACGATATGGAACTGGTTATGTCAGAAATCCGACCACTTTATGTGCAACTTCATGGATTTATACGATTAGAACTTTATAAGAAGTATGGTGCAGGTATAATTGATTTACATGGCCCGATTCCAATACATTTATATCATCAAGTTATTATACAAGCATGGCAAAAGGACAGTATTATTGAAAAATATTACAAATTCGAAGACTTGTTATCGTATGAGCAGCTTGTAACTCAATATGATGCCATGGAACTAATAACAATAGCTGAAGAGTTCTTTCACTCGTTGGGCTTTAAACCTTTAGAGAAGGATTTTGCTAGAAATCGATTAAAAGTGCATGAAGATGAGAATATTTATAACTGCCAAATTGAATTGTATGATGTCACACCCAAAACTTACATGAAATATTGTAAAACTGTTGATTTCGCCAAGTATTTGCAATATCATCATAATTTGTGTAGAATTTATTATGCTAAGGAAAAAGCAAACCTACCAATGCACTTTTTCAACTCATACGACTTAGAGTATTCGGTTGGACATGCGGTGATCTTGTCAGTTTGTACACCGAAGCATCTGAAAACCATGATTGATGAGAACATTGAAATAAGTGATGATAAACTTATGAATCGTTTGCTACATATGGTAATGTATAAGTGATTGTAACTTCCTGAGTGTATTATTACAACTTTTAGTGTTTAGAGCATTGACACCTTATGCAACTTGCATATATATTTCGTGAACACAAAGGTTATGCACGATTTACTTAGTGGCAACATCGAAATATGTGAAGTAAACAAACATTTCTGGGACTTAATGGATATATATGTAGGGGTTGCACCACCAATTGAGCGCGAACAAAATGCTATCGATTTTACTTATAAATTTTACTTGGATTTGGAACAAAATCGACAATTAAAGTGGGTAGAATTTTTATATCTGTTTATTCAATGTAGATTATCCTATACCAAACGGTTTAGGAAATTTTTAGGGGTCGTGCTAGGATATCAATTCTACAAAGCGTTTTATGAAATAAGTGATCGGACGGAACCACTTCAAAATTACGATTTCTTTAATAACGAACAAATTGGCGAAAATATACGGTTGTTAAAATTTTCAATAGAGCTGAATAAAATTTGTTTGATTTTCGAATTATTTTACTTAGAGAAATGATGTCTTTGGGATCCTCGATGTCTTTTTATGATGTAATTGGGGTAATATTAACAAAAAATAAAAATTTAAGTGCAGATGGCTTAATGGACTACTACGCGCCAATGTTAGCTTGGGTTCAAAGAAGAAACAAAGCGGAGAAAGTAAGGGCTGGCTGGAACTCCAGCAACATAAGTGGGTATCGCAATATATGTATAAATTATTTAAATTTGATTTTACTATACAAACACTATATCTCTTTCATTTCCTTTACAGAAGTGAATTGAAATTAAACCAATCAATTCCCGAACTTGTACTAAAACAAAAGAAAATAAGTAGTCACTTCATAAAATATATTTTACTATATCTGACCTCAGTTATTTATTATGGAATAGAAGTCAAAATAAATATTTTTTGCTTGTTCAAAATTTACTTAATTTTTTAGTTTTAATTTGTTTAGAATAAAATTTAAAATTAAGAAAATAAATGCACAAAACACCAAAGTTTGAGAATATTTTTTTGTTAGATGGAATTGTTCTTGCATAGACCATATCAAAGTCCATAGTCTTTTGAGAAATTTCTATTAAAATTTTCATCTCTTTGTCACACCAAAGTGTTTGGAAAGACAATGTTAAAGTAATTTTGAAACAATTATCTTCTATATCCCTCCTCCAAGTAAGATTTAATATTGAATCTAAATAAACTATAAAGGAAAATTTTCGGGATACTTTTGGAAAAATTTGTTTTTTGAAATACAACGGTTAATATTAGCACTTAAATTAATTGTTTAAATTATAACTAATTATTTTTAAAACATAACAAATTATCATTTATTGCACTTGAGATATTGGCTTGAGATAGTGCTTGAGGTACGTTTAAAAATGTGTCATATCTCCTAGACCCGAGATTCTTATTTTAAGAAATGAGCTTATAAAAAAAATATCAGCCAAATCGGAGGAGATGAGGTCATTTTTCACTAAAATCCGCCCGATTTGTCAAAGAATGACTCATATATCATTACTGACCCTTAGTCTTTTAGGTGAAATAATCTTTTTACTTGATTTTGGTAAGAGTGGAAACATTGCTTTAACGCCACATATCTGTCATACAACCCAATCTAAGATGCCCTCTTAGAGATTATGTTCTCTGAATTTTAACTGGTTGATTTTGTGAAATATGGCTTGAAAGATTCCGTGTGTATGATGAATTTGTTATAATGTGTTTATCGGTATCGAACTACAAATATCTAAAGTAACTTTTATTATCTGAATATGGTGAGTTCTATCTAAATATATATTGAAACCAATCGAATGGATTTAAAATCAATACTCTCATTAAAATGAGAAAACCTTAAGAGAATGGTAGAGCTTTTCATTATGAGAGCAGACTAATTTTGTTCTGTTTTGGTTACAAAATCAAATGGCTAAATTACAATATATAAAACACTTTAGGGTAACTGATCTACCAATATGTTTCTGTCCAGATTTACATTTGATAGATCAAAAAACTACTCATCCAAATTTATATATTATTATTTAGCTTTGTGAGAGATTTGGGATTAAAATAAGCTTCACTGGAGTTGCCCACAATTATTATTATTAAATAATAGGCTATGAATGCACCCCGACCTAAAAGATCTATTGCAAGCCTAAAGGCTCAACTAAAACAATTCTAGACTATTTATAAATCTCGTAATTGCTGTTGTCTTAATTTTACCTATTTGATTTGGGATTAAGATCCCGCTTCCAAGGTAGTCAAGAATTACCCACAATAGTGGAATCAATAAGAAAAGCCGCAAAGCTTCTGTCATCTTTATTCATTATTATTTATTTATTAATCTGTTGATTAACTAAACATTTTGGTATGTAGCATATTGAGTCTATATTGTTTAAAGGCTGCGTAAACATTTTTATCGAAGCGGAAGCTTCCTATGAACATGGTTTCCTACGAAATTAATTATATTCTTATTTTAAATACGGCGCTCCGATACCAGCCCATTTTTATTAACAAATCATGAAATAAGTTTGTGTGTACGATAGTCTTATTGAAAACTATTTTCCTTATAGCGATCTTCAAAATTGTATTCAATTATAGAACAAGGTTAATACCATGGAATTGGTTACTGGGCTGCGCCATTATTTCAACCGAAGTGCTTTCACAGCTTCGTCTAAAAGAAAATGAAGAATGTTTCTTTACAAAACCGATTTATTCGATATAATCGTCTAGAGTCCATATGAAATGATGTCGTGGTCTAGATTTTTGCATATTATAAGAAATATATGAGAAGGATTTTTGCATATCTATATGAAAAAGTAAACCTGACTTTCATCTCTGTCTATTTGCCAATGTTTGATGGAAAACAACTTCTGATCAAAAGATTCAAGAAGTTGGATAAAGTAAAGGCTTAACTTATCAATGATACAAAAAGAGTTCAATACCGGTTGGGATAAATTACTTTGTTAAATACGATTTAAGTATAGCACTAGTTGTTCTGTCTTCAGTATCATATTGAAGACATCATTACATATGATACAGTGATAAGTTTTTTGTTATAGAAAAACTTTAACATTGCTTTTTCTCTTCTTCTTTCTTTGGCATCTAAATTAAACTTCGTAATGAAATACATTTTTTATTTTTATATACTAAAACAACTGCTGACTTTGATAAATGTCAAAGAGATGCCAGAAGTAACCGCCGGTGGTTGTCACCACAACATTATTGAATAATCTAAGTTCTTTCCAAATCTAGCCTCCCATGAGCAACTTCTAGAAACTAAAATTACTACTTCATCATATTCATTTTGATTTAATTGAAACCCTATAGTAATTTTGGTGAAAGAAGTTAAAGACCAAACTCTTACCCATAAAGTGTATATCGATTATATTAATCCCGCTGGCATACTTATCTGTTATTAACTTTCCTTTTTGATTTTAACATCATAGCCTAATATATGTAACATCGACTATGTCGAGAGTAAGTCTAATATGTTTTCGATTTCTCACTGCTTTAAAAAGAAAAACGATCACGCGCTTCCACTCACGGTTGTCCTTTTTCCTCGGCTCTTGTTTGAACGAGTCAAGAACTTACTTGGAGGAACGAGTTTCAGTAGCCGAGAAGAGATAATAAAGTCGGTTCTGATGGCTATACAAAAACTTGACCATAAAGAATTTTTCGAAAATTGGATTAACTGCTGACATGGGCATGTTTCTGTCCATTAATAGCACCTTAAAAGAGACGATTTCAATTATCAAGATTAAATATTGTGTTTTTAATTTTCTAAATAAGTTCCTGAAAGTTTTTAATCAACGTGCTACTAAATGGAGTCTACTTTCAAAGAAACAAATATATATATATATTATAAGTATATATATATTATATAATTATATATTGCTTGATATTAATTCGACAGAATGCTTATTCAATTTTTGAAAGTATCTGAACTAGTGGGTTTTGACTAAAGTTTCAGATTTTACAATTTTTAATTTTGCTAAATGAAATAATTAGGAATAGCAGTAAATTCAAAATTTTTAACAGATATATTAATCGATTCTGCAACCCGACAGAATTATAAACTATCAATAACTGGGAAGATGGAATAGTTTCAGTTCAAATCAATATGGGAGGAACGGTATTGAATAGAATTTAAAAAATTTATTAAAAGGAATTGAAAATAATTGCGATATTCATTTTAAGAAAGATTTTTATAGATAGGTTGAAAGATAGAATCACAGGAAAATTTTTAAAATATTTGAGATTTTGTCATTCACGCTTTGGAAATAATTAGGTTAGGTTCAGAAGGTGCATGCTGACAAAAATTTTGCCGGGAGAGGCGAGTTGCTAATCGTTGTTATCCTTGTAAAGCCATTTGGTTTTCCAGATGAAGTTGAGACGATCCGATAAGTTTGCTTTCATTATTTCTTTGAAGCCAGGAAATAATTAAATATAGACAGAAAAAGTCTTCTGTTATTTAATTATATTTAATAATATGCCTACTATAAAATATTTACCTAATATACAAATACATTCTGCAGTATTGTGGTTAGAACATTCCTGAGGTGAAGCATGCCTGTTATACAACTAAGTTCAAGATTGGGTCAGAGTAGACTTCTTCATAGAGCCTTTTCCATCCTTGAATGGCAATATCCGTCCTAGTGGATATTGTACTAACTTGAAAACTAAAAGTGCTCAGTGGTTGTTGCTTAGGTTAGGGTATTGTATTTCACCTATTTTCAACACATTTCCCTCCTAGCTGGAGAAACTGAATATAGTACTTGAGATATAAGTTCAATGTCTGTCATTCTCGGCTACGTATTCAGCATAAAATCAAGCATGTTGAAAGACATATAATGAAATTAAATTAATATTAGAATTGGGGGATATAGAAAGAGTGATACTTGCGGGCCGAGGAATCGGATGTCCATTTCCTGCTAACAACGCCATTTCCGAGACGTTTTCTGTTGAGAGTTTTTCTTCATTTTAAAGTTTTTAATAATTTCTGTTTTACTTATGATCGCTTTTCATAATATTTGTTGCTTTTCGAACGTACATTTTAATCACTTTCCATTGCATCAGAGTGTAGCAGCTTACTCACCTCACTCGTTTGTTAAAATAATTATCAACCAAATAAGTAGGTGCCCAATGCTGCTTCAATCGATTGCAGTGCTGTCGTTTCATATCTTTCTTATGTAAAGGATACCGTGAATTAAGTCTGAAACAATCTGTTGCACAGAATACGCTGCCATTAAATTCCCAATATTGTTGCAGTGGTACCTAAACTTTTGTTTTCTGAAGCCCATAAGATTTTTCGTTCCATATCTGCTTAATCTACAACAGAGCAATATTTCTGCTCAAATAGACTTTGGGTAATAGGATAAAGACATCAGTTCCACCGAACCTGTCTACTCTTAGTAATAAGATGTTATTTATCTCTCGGTTCTCGCGATTAGTCCACAATTCATTTGTCACCGATATCATGATTTTATGTTTGTATTCCTAAACCGTTAATACTTAGGTTTTTGAATGATGTTTGAGAACTATCTCGTCTCTGCCTTTATTCCTTCAATATTCCTATGATTTTGTTTTTAGAAGGATGGCTAACCGACAATAATTGACATACTCACATACTCGCTCAACAATAAACTTTCTGGAAAAATGAGACGAAAACGCTTCAAAGTCTGATACTGTCTCAGGCATTTAACGCCTGAGACGTTAAGGCATTTTTTTTTTATTACAAAAAAACACATCCAAACATATTTTTCTATAGCCCATTCTGATACCCCGATTCTTTCATTTTATATTTTCCTAGCTTAGCTTAGCAAAAATTTATCACGACACCGAAGCGATAGAATTTATTAATAATGCAAGTA